ATGTCTTGAAATAATTACCAATCCAGTAGGAATGAGCGCCCTTAGAGACCCAGATTGGAATCCCTAACTCTTCTTCTCCCCAAAGAAATGAGGGCCTGTTCATCAAATGGCTGATTTCAGGGCTAGAATTGTTTTCATACTGAATACAAGGAGAACAACTATATGCCAATAAGTTGGAAAATCTAGAAGAAATGGACAAATTCCTAGACACATACAACCTACCAAGATTGAACCAGTAGAAATCCAAAACCTCAGCAGACCAATAATAAATGATGAGATTCAAGTCATAATAAAAAGTCTCTTGGGTAAAACAAAACAAAACAAAACAAAATGAACAAACGAAGGAAAGAAAGAAAGAAAAAAAGAAAGAAAGAAGAAAGAAAGAAGAAGAAAGAAAGAGAGGAAAAAGAAGAAAGAAAGAAGAAAGAAAGAAAGAAAGAAAAAGAAAGAAAGAAAGAAAAGAAAGAAGAAAGAAAGAAAGAAAGAAAGAAAGAAAGAAAGAAAGAAAGAAAGAAAGAAAGAAAGAAAAGAAAGAAAGAAAGAAAGAAAAGAAAGAAAGAAAGAAGCAAGCCTGGGACCCTATGGCTTAATTGCTGAATTCCACCAAACATTTAAAGAACTAATATCAATCCTACTCAACCTCTCCAGAAAAAAATGGAGGGAATACTTCCAAAACCAATCTATGAGGCCAGTATTACCCTGATACCAAAACCAGGCAAAGACACATCAAAAAATAAATGAAAGAAGGGAGGGAGGAAGGAAGGAAGGGAGGGAGGGAGGGAGGAAAATATAGTCCAGTATCTCCGATGAATATTAATACAAAAATTCTCAACAAAATGCTAGCAAAATGAATTCAACAATACATTAGAAAGGTCATTCATCATGACCAAGTAAGATTTATTCCTGAGACCCAAGGTGGTTCAACATACACAAATCAATGTGATACATCAATATCAACAGAATGAAGGATAAAAACCTTATGATCATTTCAATGGATGCTGAAAAAGCATTTGATAAAATTCAACATCTCTTCATGATAAAAACTCTCAAAAAACTAGAGATAGAAGGAACATATCTCAACATCATAAAAGCCATATGCAGCAGACCCACAGCTTGTGTCATACTGAATGGGGAAAAACTGAATGCCTTTCCTCTAAGATCTGGAACACAACCAGGATGCCCACTGTCGCCTCTGTTATTCAACATAGTACTGGAAGTCCTAGGTAGATCAATCAGTCAAAACAAAGATGTAAAGGGCTTCCAAATTTGAAAGGAGTCAAATTATCCTTGTTTGCAGATGATATGATCTTATAGCTGGAAAAACCTAAAGATTCCACCAAAAACTATTAGAATTTATAAACAAGTTCAATAAAATTACAGGATAGAAAATTAACATACAAAAATCTGTAGCATTTCTTTTTTTCAAGTCAGGCTATTTAATCATCCAAAAGACTCCTTCTGTGGTAAGAGGAGGTGAGCACCCTAAGCTCTCACTTCCTAGCACTCTGTGTGCTGATGTAGTTCTGGAGAAGTGATATCACCTCTGACTGCTGGCTCATGTTGGTGACTTTGCCCTGAAAGCAGCCTTTCTTCCCTACTCCTTTGCCTTCTAGGACCTCATCCACCCTTGGCTCCAGGGTTTCCATGGTCTCAGGTGGCCCTGCCAGTAAAAAGAACCTAGCACCTTTCTCATCACCCATGATTAAGAACAGGAAGGAATCCTCTGACCCAATCTCATTAGCAACGATATTCATGAACTATGAATCACCCTCCTTCCTGTGTAATATGACCACATCCCCCGAGTCTGGGTCAGTCCTGAGGCTATGGGCAATGTGCACAGCTGAGTCTCTGAGCAGATTCAGGTTGTTCTGCAGGAGCTTGGTGTAGTTCAGGAGCTTTTTCTTTTTTAAATTTAATTAAATTAATTAACTAATTTATTTATTTATTTATTTTTGAGACAGAGCCTCTGTCGCCCAGGCTGGAGTGCAGTGGTGTGATCTCGGCTTACTGCAGCTCTACCTCCTGGGTTCACACCATTCTCCTGCCTCAGCCTCACAAGTAGCTGGGACTACAGGCACTCGCCACATACCTGGCTAAGTTTTTGTATTTTTAGTAGAGACAGGGTTTCACCGTGTTAGCCAGGATGGTCTCGATCTCCTGACCTCGTGATCCACCCGCCTCAGCCTCCCAAAGTGCTGGGATTACAGGTGTGAGCCACTGCTCCCGGCCATGTTCTGGAGCTTTTTCACTGCTTCCGTGTGATCCTCGGCTCCACACTTAAGCAGAGTGATTCAGTGCTTTTTCAGTTTCATGACTTCTCTTCATCCACTTCAGCATCTGGTTCCCAGCCAGAAATATCAGGTTGATTTTATTTCTTTTCCTCTTCTCGGTGCCTAGAATCTTAGTAACTGGAAGGTCACAGAGATTGCTCATGGGGATCCCACAGCACGTGTTGAAATCAACACCCTTGATGGTAACAATTCCAACGGGCCCAGCATGATCATCTGGCAGACCCCAGCCTCTCACCTGCTCCACCTCAGGATCATTCAGGCTCAGTTCTCATACTTTCTTGAGCAGCTGATCTCTGATATTTTTATTGACACTCTTTTCAGTGGCAGTTATTTTCTCTGCATTCACAGAGGGGCTTTCCAGTTCCATCACGCTCCAAAATCTCCCTAACTCCCATGATGTTGTTTTTAACTCAGACAGACAATCAGCAACTGCTGTGATGAGATGCTGCCCTTAATGCTGCTGCATGGGGTCAAACCTCCACTCCCAGTCTACCCAGACCAGGACCTGGCTTCCAGGATCCAGGGGTGTCTGTGTGAAATGATCAGCCTGGGCTCCCGAGCGGGTCACTCCCAGCACAGAGATGTCATTGATTGTACCACCATCATCAGGGTGTCTTCCACCCTCAGGGAAAAGCAGCATGTCTTGCAGCACCGTATGAAAACTGCCCAGCACTTATTTCTTGCCATTGCTCCCTTCTGTCTGCAGCTCTGTGGGACCACAGGAGATTATGGGTGGTGGTGGACTCCTGGGCATTGCTATTCTGCTGATACCAGAACATCATCATGGCCATCTCTCAGGCATCAGTAGTGTTTCTATATGCCAACAGTGAACAATCTGAAAAAGATATTAAAAAGTAATCTCATTTACAATAGCCACACATAAAATTAAATACCTAGGAATGAACCAAAGAAGTTAAATATCTCTATAATGAAAACTATAAAACACTGATGAATGAAATTGATGAGATCACCAAAACATGAAAAAATATTCCTTGTTCATGGATTGGAAGAATCAATATTGCTAAAATGTCCATACTACCCAAAGCAATCTACATATTCAGTGAAATCCCTATAAAAATACCAATGACATTCTTCACAGAAATATGATCCTAAAATTTATACAGAACCACAAAGACCCAGAATAGCTATCCTAAGCAAAAAGAACAAAACTGGAGGAATCACATCACCTGACTTTAAATCATACTATAGAGCTGTTGTAACCAAAACAGCATCATACTGGCATAAAAGCAGATACACAGACCAATGGAACAGTATAGACAACCCAGAAACAAATCCACACACCAACAGTGAACTCATTTGTGACAAAGGTGCCAAGAACATGCACTGGGGAAAACACAGTCTTTATAAATACTCCACAAGCACAAGCAACCAAAGCAAAAATGGACAAATGGGATTACGTCAAGTTTAAAAGCTTTTGCACAACAAAAGATACAATCAACCAAGTGAATAGACACCCCTAAGAATGGGAGAAAATATCTGCAAACTACCCATCTGACAAGGGATTAATAACCAGGATTTATAAGGAGCTCAAAGAACTCTACTGGAGAAAATCTAGTAATTCCAGTCAAAAATGGGCAAAATATTTGAATAGGCATTTCTCAAGAGAAGACATACATATTGCAAAGAGGCATATGAAAACGTGCTCATCACTGATCATTAGAGAAATGCAAATCAAAACTACAATGAGATCATCTCACCCCAGTTTAAATGGCTTATATCCAAAAGTCAGGTAATAACAAATGCTGGTTAGGATGTGTACACTGTTTGGTGTGAATGTAAATTAGTACAACCACTATGTAGAACAGTTTTCAGGCTCCTCAGAAGACAAAAAATATTTAACTACCATATGATCCAGAAATCCCAGTGCTTGGTATATACCCAAAAGAAAGAAAATCAGTATATCAAAGAGATATCTGCGTGCCTATGTTTGTTGCAGCAGTGTTTACAAGAGCTAAGATTTGGAAGCAACGTAAGTGTTCATCGACAGATGAATGGGTAAAGAACATGTGGTACGTAGACACAATGGAGTACTATTCAGCCATAAAAAAAGAATGAAATCCAGTCATTTGCAACAACATGGATGGAACTGTAGATCACTACATTAAGTGAAATAAGCCAGGCACAGAAAAACAAATGTTTCATGTTCTCATTTACTTGTGGGATCTAAAACTCAAAACAATTGAACTCATGGAGATAAAGAGTGGAAGAATGGTTACCAAAGGCTGGGAAGGGTATTGGGGGCATGTTGGGGAGGTGGGGATGTTTTATGGGTACATGTAATAATTAGAAAGAATGAATAAGAACTACTATTTGATAGCACAACAGGGTGACTATAGTCAATAATAACTTAATTGTACATTTTAAAACAACTTAAAGGGTGTGATTGAATTGTTTGTAACTCGAAGGATAAATGCTTGAGGGGATGGATATTTCTTTCTTTCTTTTTTTTTTTCCCATAAAACATGGATATTTTATTCCAGCTCTAGGAAACGGAAAAAAAAAAAAAAAAAAAACAGAGGGAAACACATCTTTCCACACACCATTCTAATTTAACTGACATTAGTCTGGGAACGCTAGAGCAGAAATATATGTTTATTTGCACAAATATGTATGTCTTTATACATACATATATGTATTTTCAGATTTTAATCTCACTGGAGTTCATGTCTTCATTTTTTTTTTTAAATGCCCTTAAAGGTCATCAAATGCAAGCTAATACTTCTACCTAAGTCTCCTCATCAATCATTTAATATTGTTTGCATTGCATTCAGTTTGTCTGTTAACCACTTATGTAATTTATCAAATTGCACATTTGGATATGTAAGGGAAAAACTTGATTTAAGTAATACTCTATGTATCAGTTACCCATTACATGATTTTTTTCATCATTATTTGCAACGTCACACATCTTGTAGTTTTCTATGTAGTCTCTGTATGCAGTCTACTACAGCTTCTAGTGCTGTACATATCTATATCTCCTGGGTGGGACTGCCCGTGATCCATGAGCTTGGGGTCAGGCATAAACTGTGTTGCACCTGAAGTGAATTCTGATTTGGTTTTCGCTTCAGAGTTGAGTTCTGTTGGCAAGGGCACTGAGTGTTTCAAGACGTCAGTTGTTTTTGCAGGTACTTCTATTTCAACAGAGAATCCTAGCTTAGTTTTTTCTTTATGTTTAGGGAGTGACTCTTCTTTGCTGCTTTTTGTCCACAGTGATTTAACTGCTCCAAAAATTTGCTGGCTTATAGCGTATATCTTTTTCCCGGTTACCTTAGCAATTATTATGGACTGAACTGAGTAACAAACAGTTGCTCCTAAAGTGGCCAGTCCCAGAGGATAAGTAATTTTCTTAAACTTGGAACCTTTTCTCGCTGAAACCAAGCCCACCAATCCTGAAACTGTAATAACTCCCATTTTCGGAAGAAAGTCTCGAGGAGGATTCTTCAGATAGACATAAGCGTCTTTTCCAAATTGTGCTGTATCCATTATCCCATTTTTCACAAAGACATGAACACCCTTGCACCAGCCAATATAACAACCAGTTGCAGTCTGGATGGAAGCAAAGCCCATTTGTAAATGACCAGGCTGCTCTTCAACATATTTAGACTGAAGCGGTGGTGCAGTATATATGGGGAGCTGCTCTGGTTTCACTAGCTGCTTTTTGGATTCCTCTTCTTTGACTGTATGTACACTTACAGATGCATATATCAGACCTGCAGGCATGGTTGTCAGTTTTTCCATCCTGATGGCCGCCATGTCTACGACCCTTTCCGCCAAGGTTGAGGGGATGGATATTTCATTCTCCATGATGTGCTTATTTCACATTGCATGCCTGTATCACATCTCATGTACCCAATAAATACATACCTCTACTATGTGCCCACAATTTTTTTCCCAAACTATTGCATTTATTATAAACAAGGGTGCAGACCATAGACTCTCAGAAACACAACAGATACGAAGCTGAGACAGCTTTGGTGAAACAATAACTGAGAGACAGGGGACACCAAGGTATTCATGTCTGCCATCCAGGGCCCTACACCCCACCTTTGGTCCAGATGGCCCCTTGGCCCAGGTGTCCCTGCTGCCAGAACACACTGGACTGGGGTTCAGAAGTTGCATATTCTATGAGGCTGGTGTCAGCGGAAGCAGGGACTCACAGTCTCCAGGTTGTCCCTCTCCTCCTGGCCAATTTCCCTCCATAACCCAGGGGTTTCAGTCTCACATCAATTATCACATTTTAAAACAGAAAACAGGCAAAATGTTTGGTTAAAATAAAATGAAAACACTGCAGGGAAGAGACCTGAGTGTGCTGGTGGACAGACCACCCTGTTCACCTGTGGGAAGGGCAGGGCCAGCAAGGGCAAGAGAGCTCCCTTTGGGTAACTAGGCTCTGTGTGTGGCCCTCCAGGTGGTCCTAGGGAGGATGCAGGGACAGGGACAGTCCAGGTAGACAGCTATCAGGTAAATAAGGCTCTGTCTGAGGTGTTCTGGCATCAGGAGGCTGCCTGACCCCCAATGGGCATGACACAGGCTCCAGGGAGCAATGGGACATCTGCCCAAAGGATCAAAGCCCAACTTGGTCAGATCCCAAGCTTCACCTGCATCATGTTCCTGGCTCTGTAAAGGGTACCCCCAACTCTGGGGACAAACCTTGCCCTTGGGCAGCAGCTGGCTGCATTGCCAAAACCAGGACACATCGATATCATACTCACAGAAAGCTACACCATCCTGGTGTGACAGGCCACACTTGCTCACCCTAGGGTAAGCTGGAAAAGAACTCCAGATATGCCCTGGAGAGCCCCCCACCTCTCAGGGGCCACCTCGCAGGGTGCTCCCCACCCCATTCTTTGAGTTTGGCTTGAGATTTTAGTAAGCATAATTTCAGATGAGGAAGAGAAGAAAGTCTGGTCCCAGCCCACTCTGGCAAGGATCGTTCCCCACCTCATCAGCATCAGAGGAAGCCACATATACAGGCAGGACACACACAGCACACACAGGGCGTAAGGAACCATGCCTGCACACCACTCACACACACACAACATAACCTAGTGGCAGCCAGAGAGGCCGGGGCACACTCAGGGAGCCGCCTTCGGGGCATCTATGTAGGCCGGGTTGTAAGGAGGCTGGCTTGTGGGGTATGGCACGGTTGCTCCTCTGACCAGGGTCTCATGGTAGGCCGGTGGGCCCATGGACTGGGCCGAGTAATGTGGTGGGTACTGTGTTGGGTAGGGTGCTGCTGGCATCCCTGGCTGGGGGAGCATGGGGTAGTAGCCCTGGTAGCTCGATCCAGGGTAGCTGGGTGGCACACTTGGAGGCTGAGTGTAAGGGGCGTGCACCACAGTGGTGAACGTGGTCGGTGTCACATCTTGTATAGGCAGCAGCAGGAGCAGGTGAAGCAGATGATGATGATGATGACAGACAGCACAAAGATGGTCAGGCTGATGGCCACCCGTAGCTCTGAACCCCATGTTAGCCTCTGCCTTCACCCAGGGGCCTCCTGCACCCCTGGACTTCCCCTCTTTCCATCATGGGCCACTCAGTTTCAATTTCCTCTCCTTTCAGAGAAAAGGAAAGCAAATCTCCTCCTGCAAAACTAAAAAAATAATAATACAAGGAAAGTATTAGGCGGGGTGCGGTGGCTCATGCCTGTAATCCCAGCACTTTTGGAGGCCAAGACAGGCAGATTACTTGAGGTCAGGAGTTAGAGACCAGCCTGGCCAACATGGAGAAACTCCATCTCTACTAAAAGTACAAAAATTAGCTGGGCATGGTGGCAGGTACCTGTAATCCTAGCTACTTGGGAGGCTGGGGCAGGAGAATCGCTTGAACTCGGGAGGCGGAGGTTGTAGTGAGCCAAGATTGGACCACTGCACTCCAGCCTGGGCAACAGAGTAAGACTCTGTCTCAAAAAAAAAAAAAAAAAGTATCAAAAGACCATTGGGTCATGTCAAAGAGACTCAGAAGGCAATTTGATGAAAATCTCACAGGCCAAATATGGGACAATCTGAATATCAATAAAAATCATAACTGCAATGAACTGTAAGCATAAAATATGTCTCACACAAAGATTTCATATTGATATTTGCAAAAAAGTAATGTTCCTGTTGGTTGAATTGTGTCTCCAAAAAACATTCATATGTTGAAGTTTGGCTCAGTAGTGCATGCCTATAGTCCCAGCTGCTCAAAAGGCTGAAGCAGGAGGATAAAGTTCAGAGGTTCAAGGCTGTAGTGAGTTATAATCATGCCTGTGAATAGCCACTACACACTAGCCTGAGCAACATACTGAAACTCTGTCTCCAAAAAAAGAGTCCAAATGTTGAAGTCCTAACCTTCAAAACCTGAATGTGACAATAATTAAAGTTAGGATTTTTGAAATGGTAATTAAGATAAAATGAGAAGCATGTTAGTAGAAGCCTTGATTCCTTTGAAGTGACTATTGGTAGAAATATGGACATTAAAATGATTTTGGCGAAGGCTCAGAAGGGAAAGAGAAGAACTGTAAAGAGAGAAAGCTTCTGTCATCTTATGGAATATATCATCATGAACATCATATGGTAAAAATACGAATGTTTAAGGTTCTCCTGGTGCGATCTCAAACAGAAATGAGGAACATGTTATTGGAAACGGGAGGAAAGGTTATTCTTGTTATAAAGTAGCAAAGAACTTGGACAAATTGTGTTCTAGTGTTTGGTGAAAAGTAGAATTTATAAGTGATGAATGAATATTTAGCTGAGTAGATTTCTAAGCCAAGTGTCAAAGACCTGACCTGGCTTCTTTTTGCTGCTTTATAGTAAAATGTGAGAGAAATAATTAATTTGAGGAATGACTTGTTAAGTAAAAAGGGACCAGACTTGAAGATTTGGGAAATTCTCATCGTATTCATATTGCAAAACTTAGAAAGTGTGTTCTGGAGAGAACATCAAGGATATGGCTGGAAAACAATTTACTAAAGATATTACATGTGCAATTCATAGATCCAATGAACAGCTCAGCAGAATCCAGGAATAGAAAGGCAGTTGTCTAGGAAATATATGTGGACGACTCTCTTGTCTGATTTTGTACCTTCTTTGAATTGCACAGGAGGCCCAAAAGGGTTTTGAGAATTTTGTACCAGCAGAAATGCTGCTAACTTGGACTGAAGGGGACAGAGATGGGATAAAATGAAGGAAGGCTGTTGGACTTCTGGAATTCTACAGAATGGGCCAATAGAGCTATCCAGCTGTAAACATGTCTTATCCTTCAAGAAAAGACAAGAATAACCCAAAGGTAGATCAGAGGTCAGCAGGGCTGTCACTTCTCCCTTGGGCTCAAAGGCACAGGCCCAGAGAATGTGACCGTATCCTCCAGATTTCATCTAGCCAGGCATCTGCATGTGAGTGCCAGAGGGTATGTGTCTGTTTTCTAGGGCTGAGGTGGGTAAGGCTGCTTTCCAGAGCTAAGAAGGCTTGGCCACCATGTGGGTGGGCTCAGAGGACAAAACACTGAGCCAAAGAAATTTGTTCTTGAGCCTTAAAATCTAATGGAATTTTCCCTGTTCAGGTTTGAATTTGCTTGCAATCCATGATCCTTTTTTTTTTTTTCTCATTTTTTCACCTTGAAATAGGAATTTCTATCCTATGCCTGTTCTACTATTGTATTTTTAAAGCAGATAACTTGTCTGGTTTTACAGGTTTTCAGATGGAGAAGAATTTTGCCTCAGGATGAATCATACCTCAAGTCACTCATATCTGATTTAGATGATATTTATATAAGATTTTGGTGCTGAAATGTGGGGTGCTACTTTAAAAATATAGAAGTGCCTTTTGCATTGGGTAATATGTAGATGCTGATAGAGTTTTGAGGAACAGAGGGAAGACAGTGTGAAGGCACAGGGAGAAGATGGCCATCTATAAACCTGAAAATTCTTCCCTGATGGCCCCTCAGGAGGAACTAACTCTGCTGAAAACTTGATTTCAGGCTTCTAGCCTCCATAACTGTTAGAAAATAAATTTCTATTGTTTAAAGCTACCCAGTCTGTGGTACTTTGTTATGACAGTCCTCGCAAATTAATAAATGTCCTTTGGAAGATGATAGAGAACAATACATTGTCTGGAAAACTGATTTTCAAAAAGGCAAAGACAGAAGCATTTATTTTGACTTCCTATACAAACTGTATCTCAAGTTAAACAAAGCATCTGTACTTTTAAATTTTTTTTATGGATGGAGTCTCAGTATGTTTCCCAGGCTGGAGCACAGTGACTATTCACAGGTGTGATCATAGCACACTGTAGCCTTGAACTCCCGGTCTAAAGAAATTTTTTTGCCTTTGCATCCTGAGTAGCTTGGACTACAGGTGTGTGTCACCATGCCTAGCTTATATTTTGTAAGAAACAAAGAGCCAGCAGAACATGTTAAATGACATCATTGAAACTCAATCAGCAAAATCCAGACTCTGGAAAAGTCTAAACAATAATTGACTATATTTCTTCAACAAATAATTTGCAAAGAATAAAAAAAATGAGAATGAGGGGGAGCTTAGAGAGTTAAAGAGGCTTAACAGACATATTAATAAACTGCAAAACAAGTATGTGTAAGGTGCTTTGGGTACAGCTTGTGTGCATGTCAAATCATGTCTTCTCTTAACCAAGTCACTGCTGTGGTGACTAGTTCTATGCAAACGTAATCTGACAGGGCCTTGCGTTGGCCCAATGTAGTGTATATCTTGCTTCTTGCACAGGGGCTTCTCTGATGCCAAATCACTGGGCAAATTACAGACCACTGGGCAGTCAGACATGTGCAAATGGGATGTGTGGCAGAATTAAGTCACGTGGGATTATTTTGACTAATAAGGGAATGGTAGATGTTGGCTAAATCCTTCCCTCTTATGTCCTTCAACTAGACAGTTCTGAGATATATTTCATAACGCAATTCAGAAGGTCCCCAAGATCATATACCTGTTATCAGTTGCATGGTAACTAAAATATGGAATTATTCCTTGTACTGGCTTTCCTTCCTTTTTAAAATACTCCTGTATACTTCATTTCTACTCTTGGGATCAGTTCTCAAATAAACTACCCCACAGAGCTTTTGTCTGTTTGGGGTGGTGTTTTAAAATATGGCTTTTATTATTATTTAAATAGATAAGACCAACAAATCAGGAAATCCCTGCCACTGAAAAGACTGTTATACTCACAGATCACAAGAGGCATGCCACACTGTCAGGGGTCACCCAGGAAAGCACCAGGGTCAGTCAAGAGGCAGAGGGTGAGGGGAGAATGTGGGCAAGAGCCTTTATCGTGGTTTCTGAGGGAAGGAATAGGCAAGTTAAAGTAAGCAGGTTTAGAATTAGCTAGTCTGAATAATTTTAGCAGGCTCTATGGCTTAGGGGCTTTTCCTAGTTGTATGATACCCAACTCTGGGGTGATTTGGGCAGGTAAATAGTGGCCCTGTGCCTGAGATAAAGGAGGTGATTGAGGATATGGGCTCTGGAGTGGTTGGTTTGCATATGAAAGACACTTTCATAATCCAGTTGTTTACTGTCTCTAGAAATTGGCTAATCCTGGGAGGAGCAATCCCTCCAAGGTCAGCACTGCCTCAAGATGTCAAAGCATCAGAATATAGAAAATTAAAGACATGGTTAATACAATTGAATACAATTGGCCCTGTGATACTTTGATATCATATTAAAAACATATTGAGATGATGATAGAGACTATATAGTAGGACATATGTTTTCCCAAATGGCATAGAAAACATTTTATAGTGGGAATCGAAAGAAAGGAATGCAAGTAGAAGTATTAAATATAAGAGTCTTTATAGGCTGGACCATGATTAAGTTTCCCATTTATATGGCATTAGCCAAAAAAAGTAGATCTGAAATTTCTGAGATCTCTAACAATATCTTGTTGGAGTTGTAAAGTGTGTTAAAGTTTATATATATATGTATGATATATATATTTATTTATATATATACATATGTGTATATATATACACACACACATATACATAAATGTACATATGACAGATATAGATACACACATGCATATATAAGTATATATAAACAGTAATATCTTGGTGTATTTCTTGGGTCAAAATGAAGAGTCAAACAGTTATGTTGCTGCAGTTTATAAACTGATAAGTTAGTAAAGTATATGTAGAGATTAGTAGTATTTTGTGTGATCAAGGGGAAAGGGTGATTGCTGTGGTAGTGATTGGAGAAGAAGGGCAGGATGTAAAGCTGGAGGTGGAGTAGGAGAGGGCACAGTAGTGAGTGGTCCTCTCTCTAGGGAGTCAAGGAGTTGACTGATACATGTCAGGTACTTCTGGGGAAAATAATTGATCTCCATTAATTTTTAGAGAGGTACAGATAGTAGTAGCCTCTCCTAGATTTCGTATATATGTAACCTCCATGTACTTAAAAACACATTATATATGAGACTGCTATAGTTTGGATGTTTGTCCCATCCAAATCGCATGGT